TCTTCTGACCTTCTTGCCTTTTTTTTTTTTTTTTGGGTTTTTTTGTTTTTTTTTTTTTTAGCAAATGCACTGGGTGGTGCAATTGAACAAGGTCAAACTCAACAAAGAAGACACCTCTTTCCTTATGGAGGTTTGCCAATGTATTTAACATCTGTATCGTCTGGGAAAGAAACTGTGTATGAGCAAAGGTTAACCCTGCTAGCAGAGTTCCATATACATAGTTATGATGCTAAGGAAAAGAAAATCCTATAGTGAGTCTAAACTCTTGCACATTTTGGAATGTCATTTGTGACATACTTTGGACAATTGTGAACGTCCCAGGAGAGGTAGCAAACATAAACCATTTAAACAAGGGAGTCAGGGTATCTTGATAACACAAAGAGAAAAGGGGTTGTATGAACTACTAATAAACGCTGAAGCCTAAGGTGAATTTTTGTCCTGAAACTTTATAATGATGGTTTTGCCATTGACTTCAGTAAGCAAATAGTCATTACACTGCAGATAATGAACCGAAAATCAGTCTTGGGTGACTTGACACCTTGAGACAGATTCAACTCATCAGCTCCTAGTGCTGTGGCAGCTGTTTTTGTTAAAGATGCTACTTGTCTCCTTAAAAACAAACTGGCTGAAGAGGCGCTACTGGGCAGCACAGTTTTGCAATAATTACTTCCTTATGGATAAGAAATAAAAAGTAGTCGTATCCAATTTTAACAATTACCCAAATCACAGTAGTGAGTATTTTAATACTACTGCTACTAACAAATTCTTCACGTTGTTGTCCTAAATTCCACCCGCGTGTCAGCCAGACGAAGTTTAATTCAGACAATGTTCCAACTCGTAGGACGCCGGGGGACGCCCTCTAGGCGCGCACGGAAACATGAGGTGGCAGGACAGGGGTTTCCCGATGCCACCGCCGAGCACAAGCCATTGCCACCGGGCGACGCCGCGGCCGAGGCAGGAGGCGGTCGCTGGCCGGGCTTGAGGCCGGGCTGGGACAGCGCAGCGCTCGCTCTTGCCGGGAAACCGAAATAGAAACCGGCGGCGGGGCCGCCCCGCTCCCCGCCCTCGGCCGGGGCGGGCGGTGCCACCTGCGCCCTTGCCGGCCGCGGAGCGCCGGGAGCCGGCGGAGCGGCGCGGGCTGCGGCGGACGGCGGCGCGGAGAGCGGGGCCGCGGGTGAGCGGGGCCGGCGGGGCAGGGCAGCGGAGCGATGCAGCGGGACGGGGCTGCGCTGCCGGGCGGGGCGCTCGGGCTCCCGGCTGCCCTCGGCTCCCGAGCCGCGCCGTGTGCCGGGGCGCCGCGGCTGCGGCACCTGCGCTGTCCCCGGGGCTGCAGGGCAGGAAGGGCTGGGGCTGGGCTCTGCTGCTGCCAGCGCTGGGAGAGTCGCGCGTTTTCTTATTCCAAGTGAATATGTGAAATGTTGTCGAAGTTGAAATTGTTGCTATTTCTCGTTCCTTAACAGTAGAAGTTTTGGGGTTTTTTTTGTTGTTGTTGTTGATTTTTTTTTTTCCCCCAGAGGGATTGTGTTTTTCAAGTTGTCGATAAGTTTTTTTAAAAGTAAATAAGGACTATTTATTTCCTTTCTAGTCGGCAGTCACTTGTCACTTAGACCAGAAAATTGTTCTCTAGGTTCTCTACAAGCAACACAAGAGATCTTTATTATGGGTGTATGATTGTGTTGAGCCAGGCTATGCAGTTTGTGGCTAGCTTTTTAAGGGGGAGAGGGGTGTTGAGGTTTCTTGTCTATGTGGTCTTGATTTTTAAATTTTATTTTTATTGTAGATTTTGTTCAATTTTTTTCCATCGTTGATCCTTGACACACAAAAAGTGTCACAGGGGCTCAGAAGTCTGGTATCCAGTAATTATTTAATATGGATATAAGAGTGGTGTCTGGCAGCACACTTCTTAGGCAAAAGGGGTTGAAAAGCTACGCCGAGAATAGAGAAATAAACCTTTGGCTTACAAATTACTCATGTGATGATGTTGAAATATTGGCAAAACTGGAGAAAGAGTCTTGTGCTTTAGCAACTGACTTAAGTGTTTGCATGCAGTTTTATTTTTCCACTGCAGGTAAACCCAGTTTTTTAGCTGAGAATATAAGTAAAGTGTACTTAGTGATGTCATTTCTTTGTGAATCTAGATTATATAGGACAATTTAGAATACTGCATGAGTGCCCACCACTGATACTAGTATAGGATTTTAGGGATAAATAGAAGGAATGAATTCCCCATTGGAAAATGGACCTTTTTTTTTCTTGTCTGTAGGGGAAGTATAGTACTAAATTCCTGCATAATTTTAAAAAATCAGCTTTTATAGTCTAGACACTGCTTTTATTGTGTAATCATTTAGTAATTAGAATTTGCTAGATATAGGGAAAAATAAAATCACTTAGGTTGGAAAAGACCTGTAAAATTATCAAGTCCAACCCAGCACTCTTAAGCCCACCACTAAACTGTGTCACATCTACATGTATGTCTTTTAAATCCCCCCTGGGATGGTGATTCAGCCATCAGGGCAGCCTGTTCCAGTGTTTGACAACTCTTTAAGTGAAGAAATTTTTCCTAATATCCAACCTCTCTTGGCACAACTTGAAGCCATTTCACCTTGTCCCATCATTTGTTATTTGAGATAAAGAGAACAGCTCCCACCTCACTACCGTTTCCTTTCAGGTAGTTGTAATGGTGAAGGGTTTGCAGCTTTTCTTAAGCACTAAAAGAAATGAGAATATGCAGGTTATAGACATTTCATGTTATTTAGAACATTTTGGGTAGTAGTGAAACTGCCAAGAGTATTATTAGTATTGCGCTCTAGTTTGGGAACATTTTGAGGAACAAAGCAGAGCTGGCACTTCCAGAAAGCTACATTTGGTCTAATCTGTACAGATGCATGAAAATGCTGTCAGAGAGTAAATTAGTTTAACTGTGGTACATATTTGTCTTTATCCATAAAAGACCAAAGCATCTAGAGGCTCATGTTTTTCTTCAGAAAGTCCCTCAGGACTAGTTTGTAACATTACCTGACTTTACACATGAGTTCTCTTGGTTCCTTTTATGACAGCACTGTTTCTTTTCTTTTGAGCCCCACTAATTCAGCAGAAACCACCACTGCCCCCCACCCCAAAAAAAAAAAAATCCCCAAAACCAGCAAATCAATTGATAGAAGTCTTGCTCTGGAGAAAAACAGAAATCTCATTTCTATTAAAAAGTAACCATGTTCAGACTTTGTTAACAGCCTATAGCTTGGTCATGGAGCAAGTTGAGGTGAGTCGGGGCTAAAAAACACCCACAGCATCTTTTCCTTTTCGTGATCTCTCTGAGCACCCAGGATACAAAGCCTGTGGCCTACCCATCAAGTAGTGCTAGTGACCACAAAGTTTCCAAGCTGGCTGCCCTGATGCTGGGGGTGTGGGTTGATTAGGGCTGGATGAACTGGTGTAGAGTGCTGGTGAAAGTCACCGTGCCCGGCTTGGGGAATGGGGGGTGGCAGAGCACTGCTCTACCACCATCACTCCCAGGGTTTGGATCGGAATTTGAAAAGGAACAGGCACTCCGTTTGCCTTTTCTGATGCTACATCTGCTGCCCTGTCCTGCCTTTTTCAGCACGTGGTCTGACTTCTTTGCCAACTCAGACACGTCATTTTACTTGGTTTTCTTCACATTAGAGCTGACGTAAATACTTTAACCCATGAGAAATATGTGCCACAGAGCTTCTACGTCCTTGTGGTGAGGGTAAGAAAGATAGTGATCATAACCAGAAACTGTGCCTGGGTAAATACATTGCTCCATGGCCTCAGGGGATCGAGTCTGCTGCTTGTCCTTGAGATAAGATTCTGTTTGCTGCTTTTCGG